CTCCCTCCCTCCCTCCCTCCTCCCCAGGCGCTGCCTGCCGCTCTCCCCCCATGTCCTCTTCAGCAGATGGTCTCCCTCTCTCTTCCCCCCTCCCCCCCCATCTTCCACTCGGCCTCGGGAGTCTCTTTATGACTGTTCCCGGCTGGATCCCTAAGGCTGCCCGACTCAGAGAGGGCCTCCTGCCCGTTTCCTCTGAGGGGCCCAAAGGCCAGCCTCCCCCTGACCAGCCCTTGTGGAGAGGAGGGCCCAGTCAGGTGGGGTAGGACAGAGAAGGGGGGGGTGTGAGCCGCCTTCAGCAGGGGGTCTCTCTGAATTCTTGGGGTTGGAGCAGGTGAGGCCCTCCAGGGCGGCTGGGAGACTTTTGCAGCTGCTTCCGACCAGGTGGATTTCTGGAGGGGTTTGGGGGGAGAGGGGTCCCCCCACAAGTGCTTGAGTCAGGGTCTTGATAGGAATGGGGTCTCCCCTGGGAGGCAGAAGCCGATTCCATGCGGTCCGTGAGACAGCTGGCACGTGTCCGTGTGCGGTGGGTCTGAAATGGACCCCCCTGCGCCAGGGGCTCAGCCAAGACTCCCTCTCGCCCAGTGATTTCCTGCCCGGGGAGATCTGAGCCTCTGCCCTTCGCTCTGCGCTTCCTCTGGGCTTCGCAGGGGCTCCCCAGAAAACCCCCCACCTCCCTTGCACTCTCCAGCTTTGCTGCTTTAACATCAACCCCGAGACGCTTCTCCCCCCCCACCGCCCGTTCCTCACCTCCCCCACTTCCGGGTCCCTTCAGTCAGAGAGACCATCTCTGTTCTCCAGTCCTTCGTGGAACTCCAGGGGTTCTGAGAAATGCCCCCCCCCCTGTGAACCTGGGCTAGGATTCAGGGACAGCGTGTACAATTTTTGGACCAGAAAATGAACTTGCTAGATGCCATCTAGTATTGCGAAAACAATACTTATTCATTTTATTTTTCAGCATGTACAAGATAACGGGTATTAGTATAGCATCTTCGCGTGCGATGGGTTCAAACAGATGGATAGAAATAAGGATAACCTGGAGGCGAACACACAGGAGGAGTCCATATCAATGGGGACGGTAGGCCCCCTCAGGGACCGCTTAGGAAACGTGGGGGCTCCACGGTGGACAGTTGAAGGTTAAGGATATGGGGGTTTGAGGAACCAACAACAGAATCAGGTCGAGTGTTCAGGCATTGGCCCCTCGGTTGCTGAAGTCGTATTTTCTGCAATGGAGTTTGGAGCGGTTTGCTTTAAATGTTTAAGTGACGTCCATATGGTGGACAACATTTTCTAAAGCTATACACTTCCTAACAGGGGTTTCTGGAGCGAAGGGCCCTTCAGCATTTCGGAGGCTGGGTGCCCCCCGCCCCCACTCTGGTGACTGGGTGGAGTGGCCGGGCTGGGTCAAGCCGGTCTTGGCCTCCTCAGTCTCCCTGCGCTCAGAGGCTGCCGATGGACTCTGAAATCTCTGGCGGGAGGACCGGGGTAGGCGGGGGAGCTGCAGATCACTTCCTCTGGGCAGGCGGTTCTGTGCCGGCCGGATGCCAGGCAGAACGGAAAGTGCCAGCCATCTGGCTCAGGCAGGCACTTCATGGGGGACTTGCTTCTCCCCCCCCCCCCAATCTCCTCTTCACAGACACACACACACACAGACACCAGTGTTGAGGATGCCAGCTGGCAGACTGGAGCCCAGGGAGAGTGAGAAGCTGGGGAGGCAGCACAACCGCACAGGGGGGTTGTGAGTCTATCTAGGTGGCTTGTGCTGATTCAAACGGGGAAACCCACAACCACAAACGGCCCCCACATGGCCAAAGCCTCCCGTGACAACTCTAGAGGGCCTGGCGCTGACTCCGCTGAGGGGGGAGGGAAATCTCACCGCTTCCCTCCCTCCTGCCCCCCCCCCAGGAGACCAGACCCAAGGAAGGAGTTTTGGGTCAGTTGCTTCACCTGCTTCTTCTCCCCGTTTGCCAGAGGTCCTGGGGACTTCAGCCGCCTGACTGGAAAAGAGGAACAGGAACACCTGTTTCTCCCCAGTTTGGGGCTCTGCCGCGTGGGGCTTTGGGTAGGGGAGTTGTGAGTGCTCCTCCTAAGAGTAACCCCCCCCACTCTGCCCCCCCCTTCCTCTCTGCCTCCTGCTGTGCTGCAGGTCTGGGGGAGATCTGGTGCACCCCCCCCACGGAGGAGAGCTCGGTCCCGCTCAGCGAACTGACGGAAGCCAGTTTCCAGGACTGCAAGTTCCGTCTGTCCCTGGTGGACCTCCTGATCATCGTCTTCTCCGGGGCGGCCGTCTCCGTGGCAGCCATCATCTCCAGCTTCGTTCTGGCGCTGCTGGTGAACTGTTTCCACCGATGCACACCCAGAAAAGCCGAGGAAGAGGAGGAGGAGGAAGGCTGAGCTCCCTTCTCCTCTTCCTCTGCACCCGCCTGCCGTGTCCAAAGGAAGCCCAGGACGGCCTCCGCTTGCTGAGGGCCAAACAGTCCATCTCCCGCGGGCTGGCCAGGAGATTCCCCAGGGGATTGGCAGGGTGAGATCCGCTGACCGTTTCTCAGGAGGCCAGAAGGGGCCCAGAAGCAGCGGTTGCTTCATTCTCAAACTTCTCTCTGCGGACAGCTGAAAATCAGCAGGAAACCCAGCTGTACATCTCCAAGGAGCAGCCCCCCACGGGGCTCCGGGTGTGGATCTGCCGTTGCCCCTTGGCTGGCTCCCTCCCTCCCGGCCCAAGGCTCCAAGCCACTCAGGGGTTGCCTCCTCACGCCCGGCTTGGCTTGTCATCCCCTGGCTGAGCAAAGGCAGCCCTGGCCCACCGCCCGGCCTGGGACGGCTCCCGTTGTGCAGACAAGAGGACTGCTTGGCGCGTCTCCCGTGCAGCCCGTCCGCGGGAGGAGCAGGAGGCAGGCAGCCCGGCTCCCCCAGGCTGCCTTTTGTTCCTCCTCCCTTCCTTTTCACGGAAAAGACATGGCCACTGTGTGACCCTTGCCCTCTCCTCTGGTCTGAGTGTCCCTGAGGGGTCCGAATGTCCAGCCTTTTCTTGGAGAAGCATTGCTGCCGCTGGGCTCCCCGTCTTCCCGCTTCTCCGTCACTTGACCCCAAGCGCTGGATTGGGAAGGTTCCGCTCCGTTGGACCCTAACCGGACTTCAGCCTAGAGACGGAAGTGCAAGGCTGATCGACCTGTGGGCAGCCGGGGGCTTTGGTGACGGCTGGGGGATGTGGGTGGTGGTGCCGAGAGCCTTGTGGGACCGAAGCCTTGAGGAACGCAAAAGGCCTGGATAGAAATGAAATCCTCATTTCCACCTTTGGGAACCTGCCATGTGGAAGGATCTTCTACTGTGGACATTTCTGGAGATGCTAAAATGGATCCCAGGGATCCAGACTGATCCAGGCTTTCTCCCATCCTGATCCTCTTAGGGAAGGACACTTGGGGGTCCAGCCTGCATGCGTGCACTTCCTTCTGAAGAGCCTCCATGTGGTTTTCTCTCCAACAGTGTGGAAGCGGGAAAGGATTTTTTTTTAAATTCCCAGAGTAGCCCCTTCCTGCCTTATGGATCCCCCCCCCCAAGTATCCCCTAGGCCTATCCCCCTAGGCCTCCTCCTCCTCCTCCTCCTCTCCCTGCCTGAGGTGCTCACAGGGGGGGGGGTCTGGGCCAGGCTCCCTCGAAGGGATTCTTGGTACGCTGCAAAGTGGGGATCTGGGCCTCCAAGGAGCAGTGATGGGGGTGGATGTTTCAGCACCTCCCTTTGCTTTGAACAGCAGCCGATGTGGGAGCCTTCTGGGCTCATTCTGGGCAGAGCTCGGAGGCCGTCTCCCCCCCATGGGCCCGCCTGGCTGCAGGTGGGGGTCTCAATCTGCTCCTGCAGGAGAGGCTCCTTCCCAGAGCCAGGCCAGGTCTTGGTGGGGGATGGGGGCGACTGTGGCAACTGAGGTTCTAAAAGATTATTTTCCTCTGCAGCTAAAATTTTTCTTCACCCCCCAAATGTAGCACCACAATTGTGACCAATGCATCCTGTGATCTTTCGCTGTAAAAGGGTCTGCAACTGGCATGAGGTTGTGATTGTTAACTGTGTGTTTGTGTATGGGGGGGGGGACTAAGTCCAATTCTGGGGGCTGGGATAGTCTTTGTTCTGCCCATTTATTTTCCCTCGCCCTGTCCGTCGTCATCCTCCTCCCCCCAGCCCATGGGGAATACTTTGGGCAGCCTTTCGCTTTGGGTCCCCGTCCCCAGCCTGGAAAGAGAACCGCAGAGTCTCCCGGGTGCCCCCAGCAGCTTTATTTGGCCCAGGGGCCAAGGAAGGAGGGAGGGGGGAGATGAAAGCCGGGTGGCCTGGAGGTTCTCAGTGGAAACCCAGGAAACTTCCCTCCATTCTCTCTCTCTCCCTGGACTTGTGGTGGAGCTCGGAAGGCACGGAGTCCGGAATGGGAGCCGGTTCTCTACACTCCTCCTGGCCTCTCCCTCCGTCCACACGCGACGCCTGGTGGGAAAGCGGGGCTGAATCCGTTCCACGGCGAAGGCAACCAGGCTTTCATTGGTGCTTGATGGCGCCAGTCCCCTCACCGTGAAGCTTCCAGCGCTCCCCATCCCTGCCAGGGCCAGGAGCTTTCCTCGGGAGGAGGCCCTCGGCCACCTGCCTGGGTGCACCCATCCCTCCCCCCGGGGGGCTTCTGCCCTTCTCAGGCGGGGGCATCCAGGCTTCTAGGCAGCCACTGCTTGCGGCTCTGCTGCAGGATGCGCCTGGCGTCCGGCCGCTGGCGAGGGGCGTAGGCCGAGGCGGGAGGCTTGGGGTAGGAGCTGTGGTAGGTGCTCTCGCCCACTCCCGGCTCTTTGCGGTGCCAGGTTTCCATCAAGTGCTCCAGAAGTCCGTAGCTGGTTGGGGGCTCTGAAAAGGACATCATTTCAGGATGGGGAAGAGGAAGGGGGGAATGAAATAAAAGGGAGGGCGAAATAATGGACAGGGGGCTGCAACTGTCCCCAAATCATTGACCTTCACCAGGGACCTGAGCAGCAACAGAGGAGCAGGGGCAGCAAAGCTTAAGGCCGCCGAGACCAAACCGAGGCAGGTGGGCTGGAGGGGGCCCTGGGGATGAGGTCTGGAGTCACCCTTCCCAGGACTCCCTCGCCAGACACCCCTCCCTATTCGGCATCTATTGGATGGCCGCAGGGCCAATAGCTTTGTAGGCCGAGATCTGGTAGCCCTGATTCTGCCCGCCAAGAATCCGGACGCTTCCCCCCACCCCAATTTCTCTGGAGATCTGCTTCAATTCCCACTCGTCCCATCGCAGCCGGCAAGCAGATGCCCACCTGCTGCTCTGGCAGGTTCCACAGGGAGACCCCCTGCCCAGCCGTCTATCCCGGGAGCCCCCCGCCCCACCCGTCACGGCCCTCCCTCCCCTCGGGACCTACCAACGAGGGGGTAGTCTGATTTCTCTGGCGTCCAGGCCAGTTTGTGCCGGTCCCACTTGCGGAGGGGAGGCAGGTGGGGGTTGTGGCCGTGCCTGTTGTACTGGTCTTCGTACTGGGAGACCAGGTGCTGATGCCTGGGCTCTTCACAGTGGGTCAAGATATACTTCCTTGGCAGACCCTGAAAGGCAACAACGAGGGGCATTTGAAGGTGCTGGGCCCGACGGAGGGGTCTGCGGCAGAGGCCCCTCCCGTCATGCACGGGGGTAGGATGGGCTGGGGGCTGGCGAGGGGAACTGGGGATGGCAGGCCTGGACTGGGGAGGGCAGAATCCAGTGTCCGGTGGTGAGCCCTTGGGGAAGCCAAAATGCCATGGCTTGCCTGAATGGAGCCAAACTGGGACGGAGCCCATGCTCGGAGGGGGGAATGGCATCCGAGGGCTGGCCTGTGTGTGTGTGTGTGAGCAAAGATAGGAGGGGGCTTTTGAGTCGCCTGCCGAGTTCAGTGTGCTTTAACCTGGCTTGGTTTTCGGTGGGCTTTCTTGGTGTGTAGCTCAGCCCTCGGGGGAGCCTCTGGCTGAGTGTCTTGTGCCCCTTCAGGAAACGGAGCTCTTCTCTACCCGGGTTCCTCCTCGGTGGCCGAGTGTGAAAGAGGGGCGACAGCAGGGGGTCCCCCTCTCAACCCTGGCTGCAATCACCCGGTCCAGGCAGGAGGTGGACCTGAAGGGCCCCGACTCCCCTTACTCACTTCCAGCCGCTTCATCAACCTCCGCATGACGGTTCTGTCGGGGGCCCCCGTGGGGAAAGGGACAAAGTCTTGTTTGAAGGTGCTCAGACCCGTCCCCTCGTTCTCACGGACAAACTGAAACGACCCAGACAGACAGCCGTCACTGGAACAAGCCGAGATCACCCACAGGCCGGGCTCCCCCTTTGGGAAACCCGGGATTCCTGTGCCCCCCCCCCCATTCTTACCCTTCTCCTCTCCTCTCCCCAGTTTCCAACCAGCACTTTAGTCGAGTACTTTGGCTCCACCTTCCAGCTGGGGAGGGAGCATTCCTGGACATCTCTGCATAGGTTGAACATGTCGCCCCCCCTCCCCTCTCCCCCACCACACGCACTTCCTTTCTCCCACTCTGCAGCTCCCAGGGGCCCCTCTGTGGCTGCCCTTCATCTCAGGTTCTCCATTGTTGCGCATCGCCTTGGTTACCCTCCTGTCACACGGCAACGGGAGGTTCTGTGGCCACGCAGTGCCCTGGGCTTGTTCTGTGGGGTTCAGGAGGAGGGGGCCGGATGCCTTAGGGCTTCCGTGGGGGGTCTGCCTGCCTGGCGATCGGGAGGACGCATGGAGAGGTATCTCTGGTGCGGGGGAGCCTCTTTTATCTGCACGAGGGATGCAGCTCAGCTCCATTAGTGCAGCATTTCCTGTGCAGAAGCTGAAAGTGGCAGGTTCTTTTTTCCAGCTTTTTAAAAAATTTCTTCCTTTTTTTGGAGCCTGAACCTGGTTGGTTCCCTCCCTCCCTCCCTCCCCCCCCCTGACAAAAGGGTTATGCACAAGACTAGGTTGCCGTGTTAATGTAAGAGAGCAAGTCAGCTGTGTTTCATTCCTGAATGGCAGCACCCAAATCTCCACAGCCATTTCCAAAATGTTGTTTCTAACATTTATTATTCCGTCTCCAAATAACCCGAGTCTCAAGTCAGTGTGCAAATAAAACAAAAGGAAGGCCACGGAAGCCCATTTGAAATGCCACCATGAAGCAATCCTTTGGCATGGCCCATTAAAACAGCAGGCACCACATCTGGTACCACAGCACAGTACAACCTGGCCGTGTCTCGTGGAAAACCCTCTTCTGGCCAAGAGAGCCACGTTTGGTTCTCCGTGGTGGGAAGCGTGGGAAACAAAGGCAGAGGGCGCATCCCATCTGCTTGGCCACGGCTCAGATTGCAGGGCGATTCAGCTTTTGTGCTAAATGGGCTTAATTGGTGTCAAATGCAGGTTTTCTGCTTCCTGACCGAATATGGTTATTCTTGTTACTTCATAAGCCTGTAATGAAGCTGACAATATCGTCCACCCCCTTTTTCCCAGATGGGAAGCAGAGCCAGCCGCTCTCAAAAAAGTCTAAAATCCCGTGGAATCCTTTCGCAAGGTGGCGCCAGGTCACCGGGACGCCCTGGTCTTCCAGGCGCCTCTTGTAGAGCAGGCCGTCGTCTCTCAGGACGTCGTATTCGCAGGTCAGGATGAAGGTCTTGGGGAGCCGCGAGAGGACGGCGTCTTCCACCAGGAGCGGCGAGCATTCGGGCAAAGTCAGGCTCCGGAGGGCCTCGCAGACGTCCTCTTTGGGAGAGAGGAAGGGGGTGGGCTCATAGCCCCTGGCCTTGAACTCCTTCTGGAGGCGGTCTGGGCTCAGCCACTTCCTGTACTGCGCTCTTAGCTTCATCGGGACGTGCGACCCTTCCAAGATGTCCCCCAGGCACGAGGCGTCGCCCGTCAAGCGCTGCAGCAGGTAGAAAGCAGCCCGTTCTCGGAACAGAAGCGGCACCGCCCGGTTCTGCTGGTAGGAAGGCAGACTGAAGTCTACCGCTTGGAGGACAGGGCAGAGGAGGATCTGAGCACGCACCTTGGTGGGGCCCGGTCTACTTGCTAAGATTTGGCAGACCCTGGCGGCGAGATTCCCGCCCGCCTCGTTTCCAGCAAGGATGACCCAGCTGCTGTCCACCCCATAGTCCTCCGCGACCTTCAGGAAGTGAGTGGAGGCAGCAAGGCAGTCGTTGAGCTGGGCAGGGTGTCTGTGCTCAGGAGCCAAGCGGTACCTGCCGGGAAGGAGGGGCATGTAAACCAGAGGAGACTTTGGCCTTCCCCCTCCACACACACACACACACACACACACACACACACACACACACACACACACACAGAGCTCTGAGGTTCAGCTTAGGCCCCGAACGGAAGCCTTCCGTTCCAGAAGTGCTGCCTGCACTAGGAATATCTGCCTGCCAAGCCCCAGCCACCCACCCGGGTTCTTCCGCCTTCCCCAGCCATGGCGCATCTGGTTCAGACCCTCTGGTTTCAATTCCTCCTACAGGAGGGAGCCTTGTTCCATTTGCTTAGCCTATCAATGAAGGGGGATGATGGTGATTGCTGCCCTCCACTTTGGTTGGGGAGATTCCGCCAAGGCTTGTAGGGAGGTTGGTGCCTGGCAAAGCCGGTGGCTCCTTCTCTAGGGCGGCCTCCTCTGCGCTCCCAGGCTCTGGGACAAGATGACAGAGCCCACTCGGGACGACTTACCCCACGGAGACAACCACCGAGCCGCTTTCTCTGGCCAAGTAGCAGCAGAGATGCTCCTGGCTCCCTGGGGAAAAAAGATCATTTGCACGACCGACTGGGAAGAAGGAAGCACTGGCCTCCCCTCATCCCGCATCTCCTAAACACGGCCTCCTCCTCCGTGGAAAGCGCCCCAAGACATTCCCTCCACCGAGAAAGAAGCCCCGAGCGGCCGATGGCTATTGGGGCCTTGAAGGCAGCCAAGCCTGCCTTCCCTTGGATCTGCTCCTTTGAATCCACCGGTTGCTTCCAAATTGATCCAGTGGTTCTGGGATCATGCAGAGAGAACCTTTTCTTTCTTTCTGAATCTGACCCATTTTCTGAGCTGGCTCCTTTTAGTTTGGCAACTCAGTTCTGAAATCCAAATATCCTGAGTTTGGAGACCTGAACTATTCAGTACCCTCAACACAGCATCTCATGAAGGATCCCATTGCCCCCCCCCGTCAGATCAGCCAAGAATTAAAAATGGTCTCTCCCCCCCCCCCCCCCCCATCCTGCCTTCTGGGGCGTTTTCTTCCTGCTGCTGTCCTGGAGACCCCGCGGCTGGATCAACCTTCCCAGCCTCCTCCTCCTCCTCCTGCCCCTCTGCCGGCTCTGCTGCGTGTGTCCTCCCCGCGCTCGCCCCCAATGCCTTTGGTGGGAACCGAGCTGGAGGCTCTTCCCCCCCCTCCGCTCCCTCCTGAACCCCCACCCCACCCTCTCCCCCTTGGAAGCAGCTCCGGTTCCTCCGCGGCGACCCCCTTGGCCCTCAGCAAAGGCCCGCGTCCCTCTCCCCTCGGAGGAAGCCCAGCTCCGGCCCCGGCACTCACCCCGGCTGCCGAAGAGCCAGCCCCCCCCGTGGAAGTAGACGATGCCCGTCCTGGGGCCGACGGCGGCGGGCGCCTTGGGCAGGTAGAGGCGGACGGGGACGCCCTGGAAGGCGGCGTCCTGGATGCGGAGGGCGGCGTCTCTCCTCCTCGTCCAGGCGTTGCGCACAAACCGGACGAACTGGAGCTGGCTGCAGAGGCGCAGGTTCTCCAAGACCCGTCCCTTCCAGGGGAGCAAAGCGGGGGCTTCAGAGGCTGGGCGCCTGCTCCGGATCCCCCAGGAGCAGGGAAGCGCCCGGCCACCCGCGGAAAGCCCAGCTGGTCCCCGGGGGAGTCCGCGGCCTCCCCTTCCGCCCTTCAAGGGCCTGGCGGGGGCCGCCTCGGCCGCCCCCCTCGGTGCCAGGTGGCGTGGCTCTCTTCCTGCTCCGAAGCCCGGCGGTGCCCCTCGCTCCGGGCTGCCGTTTAAGACGCGCCCCGGAGCCGCTGTCCCGAGAGCGGCCGCTTGGTTTGGCGCCCCGGAGACGGGCAGCTTAGCTCCGCCGGGCTCCCGCAGAGGGGACTCCCCAGCGGCTTGGTCAGCCGGAGAGGGGCGCAGGCGGGCTCGCCGCGACGGCTTTCCCTCCCCGCGCCCGGCTCTGGTCCGCACATCGGCAGCGCCCCCGGCCCCCAAAGCCTCCCGGGGGGCACGCGCTGCGCCC